GGGCTAGAGTGAGGAACGGCCGGCGGGCTTGAGAATGGCGCGGCCTGCGGACTTGCGGCAACCACATGTGACGACCCCGTGGCTGGAGTCCGCTTCGTCCATGGTGAAAGCCGATCCACAGCGCGAAGTTGATGTATTTCCTCAGCGACCAGCACGGATCAGCTCCAGGCATGACGAAGCGGATATCGTCCTCTTTTGGAAGGACAAACAAAGTAGTTTCGCTTTCACAACGAAACACACAGCGTCTCCACAACATGGCGGCGGCGGCAACAGCTAGAATAATCGTGTGATTGGCTTTCCGCCCTTTGTATTAAACTATGCATACATACATGATGCTGTTTTGTTTATAGTTGTTTAAGCAACTTAATTATAATTGGTTTATAAACATTATTTTAAACATTATGCACTTTTTTCACAGATAGTCCTTATCTTATGCTTTGAATAAACGTGCATTAGTAATATTTTGCTCAATGCGCTCTCTTGTGGCCTCAGAAGAGAAGCCAAAAGCTATTCTTCACTATAACTGAAATTATGAATTTTAAATTGGAATATAATTCGAATTTTGATAATATTTAAGTACAAAATTAGAATTTCGTTTTTCAGCCATTTTGACAGCCCTACTCACAATGTTCCATTATAATCAATGAAGCTCTCTAAACTGCACATATAATATCTTATTTGCATCGTGTCTACGTGTGGCGTTTAGCATTGAGTAAATTCTGTCTCATGCTGAATGCATAAGAGTTGGCACCCCTGTATCTATTTATATAATACTTAATTAATATCTTAATATATTATTATATCTTATATAAACCATTTGCACACACGAGCATTATCTGACTCGGCTCCTCCCGACCGCAGACGCAGGTTTACAAGCCACTTTTTCTTGCATTTTTCAGTCAATTTCTTGCCTTTTCCCCCCTTATGAACAACAACATTTTCGTACACGACAAGCTCCTTGTGGTTTCTCGGTTTGACCGATTTGAGCATCCATAAACAACACAAAACAAATGCATTTTGAGTTTCTGCTAGCGATTCCTATATAGAAAAAACACTTCCTGCCCTCCAGCTGCATTTCGCGCCACAGCAATGACGTCATGTGCAAACAACCTATTGGGTGGACATTTCAGCCGCTTGAGCAGAAACATTCTTTATACCAGACCTGTACAGTGCACACACAAAAAAGTGTGTAACTTTTCATTTTAATGTGATATTTATATTTGATTTGTCTCTTGGTGTAACTAAATAATGCACATTTAATGTAATATAATATGAAAAAAAGAAGCAGATATTGCTCATGAATTCCCTTTTTGAGGTCAATTATTTATTAGGTTTATAATATAATATAATATAATATAAAAACAAACTGAAGCATTTAAACTGAGATCTGTAAGCTAAATATTTTTTTTAAATGTGAACGTGAATTCTTATACAGTTATCTAAGTAGAGTTTAGAGTAGTAGAGTTTGCACACTACTACACCTGTGTGTGACTGTAAATATCTTGGAGTTTTGTTGCCGTTCTGTGCCCATCATCCGCTATTTCCACCACTTAATCAAGCCACTTATCTTTAAAACATGATGACGTTTTATTTCACATGTCATTACATTTGCGTTGGCTCTCGTGTTGAGCTATTTCGTCCGCAACCATTAAAGTTTCTGATTTCTATAGCGACTCTTTTGGCGCACATCATTCTCTTTCTATGAAACCTGTAAACCACATTCACCGGTTCTAAATCTATAGCGACACCAACTCTATAGCGGTTTGCCCGAGCATTGCAATTATTTCGCATTTACTAGAATTCAATCAAATGGCTTTCCCAACTCAGATATTTGCGTGTGTCCTATGCGTGGCACATTGTTCTTCTGCGCGGTCGCGACATAGGAAGTGTGCGGCCATGCACGTGCGCAGCTTTGAGGAAACATTGCTGTAATGTACAATGATTTTGTGCGGAATTAAATATTAATGTGTTTTTTCCTAATTTGTAACTAAATAATGTTTGTTTGTGTCAGGTATGTGTGTGTATGGCGAAGGAAACTGCCGTTTTGGAGTTGATATTTAGGTGTGGACTGGTACAGCAGGGTCCCACTAACCTGCTGATCTTCTCCCTGTTGGCGCCATTTATTCATCGAGATGGCTCTCTGGGGCAGCAGGCCCGTGACGCACTGCTGCTCGTCATGGCAACCTCTGCCAGCAACCACGCTGTTGCGCGTCACATCGCAGAGAACTCCTACTTCTGCCCAGTAAGCATGAGTGTGGTGTTGTGTGTGCTTACCTGATCATGTTTCTGATCTTGCTTTTGAAAATGTACTTGTATCTTAGATGTTGATTAGATGGATGGAGAAGAGAAAAGATTCAGACTTCAACATATATTCCTCATGTTCTTTCCTCACTGTTAGCATGTCTTTATGAATATCCTTTCTGTTCATGTTATGTGCTTTTTTTTTCTTTTCTGTCTGTGCCATGCAATTTAAATGTCGCTTGTTCATTTTTTGAGTGCCTCTTGGAACTTTTTCAGTGGAGATATAAAGTCCTGTAGTGTTTTCTCTGAGTTGCATTCTATTGGCTACTGTGGAATGAAAAGGCCATTTGTCATCTGCAGTTGTGCTACAGTTTTGGACTTTTCTCTTGAGAATAATATATGAGCCTCCATCTGACCCACTTAACACATACGACTGGAGGTCTCATCTAGGACTCCATGCTGCTGCAGTGCCTCAGTCTCTCAACATTTTCCTCTCTAACTTTATTTTTTCCACTTTGTGTCACGTCTATTTTTATGCTAGAGATGCATAGGTCTAGCTAACAGTTTCTTTGGTGGCCTGTTTTGTGGCGAAGTTCCACATATAAAACAAGCCCTGACATGAATGATGTTCTTCAACATACTTGCATTAAGGTGTGGTCACATTTACCGTTATTCAGGAATATTCATGTTTGACAATCCAGTCATTTCAATAGGAATCAATATGGTTGGGAAATTTGCATTGGGGTCATGTGGATTCAGCATGTTGACCAACATAAAGCTGCTTGGTTTGAAAGCAGCTTCTGTGTGAGCTGTACTTCATACATTTGCTGCACTATTGACAATGGACCTTTTTTTAGAAATACAATTTTAAAGAATTTTTCTGAAGTGACCCTATCATTATTCCTTGCTAAGATCTGTGCTTGGAATACGAGTCATACGTTTTGATGTAGTGAAGCAATAAAAAAAAAAACGAAAGATCCTGTGTGTTACAGTGATTTTACCATAGTGTGTTATCACACAGGGTGGAGCAGCGGTAAACTTAATAAGTTTATTTACAAGTAATACAGTTCATTAGTCAAATAGATTTGTCGCAACGTATCAAATTTATAGGCTTTGTTTGCTTTGTGTTTTCAGATGTGCATATAGCAAATGTTTTTACATCCAGTCAGGTTTTAGAGTGATGCCTATGTTTAAAATGCAGAGATTGCTTGGTGAACTTTATGAAATAATGTTGTCACCTATTTTTCTGTTTCCCAGGTGCTAGCGACAGGGCTGAGTGCACTGTACTCATCCCTGCCACGGAAGATTGAGGTACGGGGCGATGACTGGCACGCCCTGCGGAGGGAGGATTGGATGGCCGTTTCCTCTCTAGTGCTGTTCATGAACAGTCTTGAATTCTGCAACGCTGTAGTACAGGTGGCACACCCCCTTGTGCGCTGCCAACTCCTTGACTACCTCCACAACGGCTTCCTGGTTCCAGTCATGGGCCCCGCTCTGCACAAGGTGAACCACACTGAACTGGGCTGAAGATGTGATCCATATTTGGCATAGATGGCAGTTTCAATAGTCATTCATTATAAAACAATGTTTTGAATGGTATTTATTTTCTCTTATTTTGATTTCTTCGCTCTCTCTCTCTGTTTCTCTTTAATGGTTCCTCTGTCAGTCGTCAGTGGATGAGATGATAGCAAGCACGGCATATCTGGACTTGTTTTTACGCAGTATCACAGAAACTTCCCTCCTTAAGACCTTCCTTCGCTTCATTCTGTTGCATCGCCATGACAACGACACCATCCTCGATACACTACTCACACGCATCAGCAGCAATTCACGGGTTAGTCTGGCACACACTGTAGCTGGGGTGCATGTATAGATAGAAAACGCATTCTTTTGTCAGTGCTGTAGGCTGAGCATTAAAGATGCTGTGTATTCCTGGGAATGTGGAGTAATGGGACTAAAGTTTTATTATTATTATTTTTGTCCTTCTCTTTGAAGCTGTGCATGGTCTCTCTGAGTCTGTTCAAGACATTGCTCAGTCTCAACTGTGAAGACCTCATGCTCCAGCTTGTTCTCAGGTATTTTGTGTGCTTGGGTGTGTGACTCAATTAGCAATCACGAAAGCCTACAAAATATGCTTTGGCTGGATTTGGACAATGCATTTTGCAAATTGCAATGCATTACATAAACTACCATTCAAAGGTTTGGGTTCAGTACGATTTTTTAAAAATAAATTAAATACTTTTATTCTGCAAGGATGCATTTGATCAAAAGTGACAGTAGAGACATAATGTTACAAATGATTTCTATTTTAAATAATTTTAGATATAGCTGCAAAACAGGCTCTTACAGAAAATGTAAATGAATGCCAAATCCCGCCTTCTGATGTGAAGCCAGTAATCAACAGATACATATTGGAGAAATGGCAAACGGAATGGGAAGAATGTCAAAATAACAAACTTTTTGAAATAAATTCTGCAGTAGGAACAAGATATATTTATTCTTTTAAATCCAGGCATGACCAAGTTGTGTATACAAGGTGTTGTATTGGACATAATAGATTAACTCATGGACATTTATTGATTGGTGAAGAAGCACCAAAATGTCAATATTGCAGGACTCACTTGACAGTGAAACGTGCTTTTGTTCTGTCCAATATTTAATGTCATGAGACAAAGGTTATTATCAGGACAAACTCTTAAGGACTTGTTTTATAAGATGGACCCAGAAAAACTTTAACAATTTCTTTCAAAAGTAAATTTAAAATATCTTTTATAGAAATGTATGTGTAATACTTTGTTTTATAATTGTTTTTATTAATTAATTTATGTTTATTGTATTTGTATTTTGTGTTCTACTATATTTTTAATGTATAATCTTTGCCATGAAATAGCCTATGAAGCTGATGTGGCAATAAACTTAAATTAACTGTAACTGTTTAAATAATTTTAAATAAATTGTTGTCATAATTGCCACAAAAATATTAAGTGATGTTGATACTATGTTGAAATCATAAGCAATGTTGATATGATCATTTCAACATTGACACTGAAGACTGGATTAATGGCTGCTGAAAATTCAGCCTTGCCATCACAGGAATAAATGACATTTAAAAAAAAAAATTGTAATAATTTTTTCACAATTTTATTACTGTTTTTACTGTGTGCATAAGAGACTCCTTACAAAAACTTAAACCGTTTTTACCAAACATCTTTTCTTTTTTTGTTACGAACGGTAGTATAGATCATATATAAGTAAGTGTCATATGTAACATATAAGTGTCATATGTAACAGGATTATTATTAGTGGTTTTATTAAACATTTGAAATTGCACATACTTGGGGAAAGATACTAAAATAATTATTATTTGTGTGTAAAAAATAACTGTTTATTTAATGTTTGTCTCCAGGTATCTGTTGCCATGCACACATGTTATGCTGAGTCAGCGAAGGGCAGTCAGAGAAACAGACCTCTATGGCAAATCAGCTGACAAGTTCCTTTCCCTCGTACCAGAATGCTGCCGAATCACTCCAGCACCCTCTAGTGAGCGGGATGATGAGCCTGCCTTTTGGGGAAAGGGTAAGCCTGTGTGAGGCACATTTATGGACATAACAGGTGTGCTTTTAGACTGTGCTGAAAAACTTTGCTGCTGTTCATGCCTACAAAATTAATTTTCTCTCTTTTTTTCCCCCAATAGTGTTAGGTAGTCCCACTTCAGAGTCACCGGTTCACCCCAGACCCAGCACTCCTTCCCGCCTTGCTCTCTTTATTCGACAGCAAAGCTCAGGAGGCCAAGCCAACCCACCCTCGTCTGGCTCGGAGAACGCTCCCTCTTCTCCTCGTGGTAGTGTTTCCTCCCCTCTGTCTCCTGACAGCCCAATGCACCAACTCCCAAACACTTCAGAAGGAGAGACTGGCTACCTGGAGTATCTGCGTGATGCTCGCAGGGGTATTGAGCTCTGCTCCTGGGCCTGTCGAGACTGGTCAGGCCCTTACGATGGAGAAAATCCCTCTCCAAACTCTGCTCCTCCTCCACCTCCCCCTCCTACATCCAACCCCTCCCTCAATATTGTACAAGAGCATTTCTCCATAATGGACCCCCCTCAGCAGAGGGCAGCAGTCGTGGCTGCAGCACGTGCAGAGTGGAGCAGTTCAGATCGAGATAGTGGAGAGTGGGATGTTACCATCAGCAAGAACTGTATCAGTCTCACACCCCGCAGTAAGAAACGCAGCCTTCTTCCCAGCTCTATACCTCTGCAGTCTTCATCTTCTGCTTCAGTCTCTACAGAAATAACCGGTGCTGTAGAAGCCATATCCCAACACTCTCATTCAGCACCTCATCCATCGCTCTATAATGGGATGGGGCAGGTGGAGCTCACAGACAGTGTGGATGAGAGAATGGAGGTTAAGAAAGTGAAAAGGGACTCTGATGTAAATAACAGTGTGGTGGAGTCGGGCATGAACGGGTCGATGGGTATGGGCCCAGTTGACTACAATGATTTCCATGTAGGATCGGCAATGAAATCATCTCAGGTGCAGGTGAAGCCACATCTGCAACATCAAACCTCCGTGCCCTCTTCTACCCAAGAGTGTCTACAAATTGAGCGCCAGAGATTATCTCCTGTTCCTGCCTTGACCGAGACTTCCACAGTTCCCCGTGACAGCAGGGGTCTGGAGTCCGTTGAGCGTCTGATTGAGGAGTTGCTGGAGCGGGCGCCGTCGGAGCCATTGTCTGGAGACTCGAAATGCCAGGGAATCAGCATAGAGGCTTTTCACCAGGAGCTGAGGGAGCTGGAGGAACGTGTAAGAGAGAGGAGGGTTCTCTCACGCAGCTCAGAGGAGTCCTCTCGGGAATCTCGCACTGCTCCTGCTCCCAGCCTGACAGATGAGGACTGTCTTCCAGTGGAGACTGAGCAGCGCTCCAGTGAAACGAAGCCTGACAGCTCTGCCACTGGGGTATTTAGCCCCGCACGACTCCTTGGACCACCTCTTGCTCAACCATACACAGGTTCTCGTTGTAGAGATGACCAAATTAAAGATTTGAGTGCTTATGTTACTTGTGCAAGTTCAGCAAGTGCTAACCATAAGTCACTGGTTCCGCTTTTCCCTCTGTGTAGGTCCATTTATAACAGTCCTGTTCAGTAAACTGGAGAGTATGATGCAGAACTCCTTATATGTGAACATTTTGCTGACGGGTGTTGTGTTCCAGCTGGCCTGTTACCCTCAGCCTCTCCTTCGCTCTTTCCTCCTCAACGCCAACATGGTGTTTCAACCCAGCGTTAAATCACTCATACAGGTAATTCATTGAGAAGAAATATGACAAATCCTGAATATGCAAAGACTGAATCATTCTCAGTTGCTCTTTTTATTGGTTTGTACATTTTCTGTTCAAAAATATGAAGTCAAAATTTATTTTGACTACACAAATACTGCTTGTGATTTATTTTTGACTTAAGTGTCTCTGGCACTTTTTTGAGCTTTTATGGTTAAAAAAATGTAAGCTGTTTAATGTTCTAGGGGTGAATTTGAGGAAGCGATTAATTTTAAATTTGATTTGACTGAAACTTAAATCAATAAACAAATGCATTGCATCAAAAAGATTTTTTCAAAGATATAGATTTTTACTTTGACTCTCTTTTTCTACTCTTCAGGTGCTGGGATCAGTAAAAAATCGTATTGAAGCATTTGCGGCATCACACGAGGATTTCCCTGTCATGTTAAGAAAGGCTCGCCAATTTCTGGTTGCAAGAGGAAAGTTAGACTGGTCTGACTCACCCATGGGAGTGCCCAACCTTCGTCGCTCAGACTCATTAAGTAGGTGGATGAAAGTGAATGAACTTTCTCAGGAACAAAAACAAGAGATCATGGTTTAATGTGCCTGCTTGTTGAAGCCATTTGAATGCAAGATGTTTTGATGTGACATGTTTTTGTGATATTTGCCTTTGTAAAGAATAATATACACTCACACAGTTGGTCATATCACAAAATAAACCTTGAAGGATGCTTTGAACATAAGGCCATAAAAAATCCTAAATATCTAAAATGGTATAACGGAAATCTTAATGAACATTTAAAGAGATCTTAAATTTGGGAGCGGAAAACAGGAATTATTAAACTTCATGACTGAATTGAATGTGATCGCTGCACGTTCAAAATATGGCGTTATTACGCATTCTACAGTCTCGTGGTTTCAGAGCAGTTCACAGTCTGTGAATACCTCCCATTTATGCCAAGCAATTGCTTATGATCTACTTTTGGTGAATTAAGACTGTTTACTTTATGGTAGGGGTGTGCGATAATGACAAAAAATAATATCTCAATATTTTCTGGAATTTTGTCGATAACGATAATTAGATTATATTTTGCTGAGCGTGATATTGTGCTGGTATTTTGGCAGGTGGACAGCTGACTCCCAAAGCTTTTGATATTCTTCATATTCTGTGTGGTGATTAGTTTGCAGGAGTAACAGAAAGTTACAGGAGCAACTTTTTCAAAAAGTTTAAACTGATTTTTTACCTTTTATGGGCATTTTTACCTTTAAAAGGCCAATTTTTATATACCTAATTAAATGTATGCATCATCTTTTTGTGTCAAATTTTTAAATTGAATCAAATTCAAATAGTAAGACACTATAGAGCTGTTACCAATCAAATGAAATCAGTATCAACAAAATTTGTGTTTGCAATACAGAGGTGGCACAGAATCTGCATCTGAAGTGGCATTTAGATGCATTTACAGACTGTTTAATTCAGGACATGAATGCATTTAACCTGCAGTTACAAATGCATAAATAATATTTTGACCTAAAAAAAAACTTTTATTTGAAAGGATATTGGGAAAAAAGGGAAATATCCTATAAATATAAACCTAAAATCGCCAGTAGGTGGAGGCAAATCACTGCATGAGTGAGTCCATGAGTCATTCATTCAACTGATTCATTCAAAAGGCTGATTGATTCGGTAAAGAAACATTACAGAGACGCAAAACAGTTGTTCGATTCCCTTTATTTCAGGTTTGCTTATAATTGAAAGTCCTGCATTATGCTTAAAATATTTTTTTTTTCTGGATATTTTTGGTATTTTGGTTACACAAATTGTATCTGGAATTTAATTCAACATAAGCTCTTATGGCTTCTCTCTGGGCTGCCCTGTCACAGGAAGACACATTAAAGACATTATTGTATCAGTAAAATCCAACACTGATCGACCTCTGATTTTTATGTATTAATATATTAGAACTTAAACCAGTTTTAGAACATGTCTTCTGTATTTCTGTTTAAACACAATATTAATTTAATTTGTGCAGGATCTCAGAAGAGTTCTTAAAAGTCTTACATTTGATTTAAAAAACTCTGCATATACCCTGTGAATTTTGTCATTATATTCAGACAATTTAATGGAGATATTTCACTTAACTTTCAACTCATTTGTGAAATGCTTCTTAAGGCATCTTAACTTAATATGTTTCCTTTTCTTCTCTCTGTTTCTTTTTCTTTCCCCACAGTTAAAAGCCGAAAACCATCTCTGGGCGATCTTATCCTGAGGCATACCAACAGTCCTACGAGAGCTCGACATGCAGCTCAGTTGGCCTTGGCCCACGTGAGAGATGGAGGGCAGTCTCTGCACAGTGCTTTGTTTCGGGGTGGTGCGGCCGGGGGGGCCTCTGGCCTGGAGAAGCAGGCAGAGGCACTAAGGGTGAAAAATGCGGTCTACTGTGCTGTTATTTTCTCAGAGTTTCTCAAAGAGCTAGCAGCTCTTGCACAGGAGCATGCCGTAGCCCTACCCTTCCCACCTAGTCAAGGCACTGAGGAATAACACCAGGCCAAAATTTTCCTCTATACTTGCTTTATCCACTGTTCCTGGCACTGAGCTGTAGACTATTATATCCCTGAGATTTTTCAAACAAACAGTCTTTTTTTCAAGGGACATAATGCACTCAAAGAGACAGGAAAAATCAGTTGATCATAAAGGTAAAGAGAGAGGTCATCTCTTGTTAATAATCTCATGTGCATAATGTACATTTTTTTTTTAATTGTACAGGACCATTAATCCATTAAGCTTTAGGAAATTGTGCATATAAATCTTGTAAATAGTCTATATAAAATATCTATGTGTATAATGATTTTTGTACACTCAGAGACTTGCATCCTTTAAGCTGGAGGAATTTGGCCGTAAACTTGCACTCCCTACGTTTCCAAGTCACTTCAGAGACTAGCTAAAGTAGACTCACTACACACAGTTCTTTTAAACTTTTATGGGTGCGGAAGTGCCATTTACATTTTTAGCAATGTTGGACGGTTATTTTGTCTTTTATAGAAAAATAGGTCTGTGAGATCACACCAAGATATATCAGAAATAATCATCCCGCCTTTTTTAAAGGACGAGATGTCAGATGCTGTTTACCAATTACACGCTGGGCAATAAGTCCTCCGTATCATAGCAGGATTTGCCGCTTTATTGAGGCATCTCTGAAAAATCAACAAATGACAAAATACTCAAGTTCTGCCAATCTCTAGCACACATCTTTTCATCCAACAGCTAGAGAGTGATGTTAGAGCCCGTAAAGAGTGGAGAGGGTTCATTTTCCTAACCTCCGTCCCAATAAAAGCCTGACAAATTTAGCATAGATGGTAAGTTTTAGTTTTCATTCTCGTGTCGTGTTGCAGCAGCACATTTTGTAGGATGAGTTTTAGGATGAGTTTCTGGCCGTTTCTTTAGTTTTTGATGTATCTTTAGTTTTTTTGGGAAAGGCACTGATTTTTCTGCCCACAAAGCTCTCCTCCTATACTGGATGTTAGCGTCCCTTTTGGCGTCTAACTAGGTGCTAATGTCTTAAATATTTGGCTGGTATGAGCAAAGAGAAGCTTGCATAATAATTACCTGTCCCTTTAAGGAGTAAGCCAAGTTATGTGACTCATAAGCCATCTTAGTGTTGAATCAAAGTGTTTTTTTTCCTGTTTATTAGTTGATTTTACTAGTGTAATGGAGTATGAGTGAAATCAGCCGTAATGTGTGCATAGTGGAAACACCACGCCACTTAATTTGTTTATTGCCAAAATACTTTAGACACCTTAATTTTCAGAATGGAAGTTAGGACATGCATGTGCATTTATGAGATTTATGAGTGTTTTTAACAGCAAGTGCGCATGTTTTTTTTTTTTTAAACGGTATCGTTTTTGCCCCTTGTGTATCTTAAATTGCAATCAATGCAATGCTGATCTGAAATCATCCATCCAAGAGCTCTTTTATCATGCACAACCCATATGCGCATTACCTCAGTTACTTCATTTTCATTGCATGCAGTGTTCTTGCGGTTTCATCTGTGTTAGTTCAGTAATTCTGTTCGATCCAATATCATTTAGGGCATAATTTTTTTTATCAGTTTCTAGATGTAAGAGCAGACAATTTGAAAGTCAGTTATCTATTATTTTCTGGTTACATCTAGCTGCTCAATTGTCAATCCATCCATTTTCCCCTCCTTATCTATCCACCCATCCACAGAAGGTCTGTGCGGCACATTAGTGTGATGGTTCTCTGCTTTTGTTAGTTGAAATCTGAAATGTTTAGCATGTAAATTCCGTATTTAAGGACAATGGTAGACCACGTTGGTGTCAAGAAAAATAATTTGTGCTTTCCCTGAAACATGCTCCAATGTCTGCGTGGGTGAGAAAGATGAAATGGAAAGGATAAAGAGCAAATTGTTGAATGAAGAAACGGTACATATATGTTAGAGTTCAGTTATCTCTATGGAGACAGCGGTTATTATACTTCCGTTCAGTTTCTAAGTTAGAAATCAAATAGGCCTATACAATTGATGTGTCATAAGATACAAATGCACAAGAAACGCCCATCGTTTTTAGGATGTAATTGTATGCCTGACATGGTGCAGATAAGCATGTTTTTCTTTTTATACATAAGTGTTTGATATGATTTAGACATTTTGAAAAATCAGGAGCTCATTGATTGTGTATGCTTGTTATTGAAAAGTGTTTGTTTGATCAATATACATTGCACAGTTCTTAAGTTGATTTTTCTGTATTTGGTTTTCTGTCTTTTTTTTGTCACTCTCGATTTGTTTGAGTGAAACGATGATGTTGACAAGGACTTCTGCAGCTTGTTATCTATGCAAACTGGTTTCTGTGTTTCTGAGTAAGCAAAGATGGTTAAACTTTTGGGGACAAACACAAATTAAATTTGCAATCTGGAACCCCACACTTCAATAATTTACTTATCCCGTATCGATTCAATAATCTACTGGACTGTATGGACTCTCATGCAAAATTATGAATGTTATCTAAATATTTTTCTATATATAAAATGGAGGAGGAAAGTGGAACTGAATGGGGATTTAAATCAACGATGAAAACCTTCAAAGACAAACACTAAAAGGAAATGTTTTTATTAATTTATAAATGTTTTACCTGGCAATACTTTTGGCTTCTTTGTCTTTATTTCTCCGAAGTTTATAAAGGTGAGATCTTCTGTCATTTGATTAAGATGTGGTTGATTGCAAGTACATTAGACATAATGATTTAAAAAAAAAAAAAAGCATATAAAATTTTTAATCAAAATGATCACATCTCCTGAATACACACTTTGTACTTTTTCTGATTGTTCCTTGGGCTTAGATGAATCAGGTCTTTAAAAATATGACACTGACTATGTCTGGATTGGTGTATAGACTGGTTTTAAGCTGCAGATTAGATGACACCTTAAATATTGGCTTGTCAGAAAAATGACCCAGTTTGCCATTATGCTCATCATTGAGATCCTCTTCCTCCCTATTTCTATCATCTCTTACTTATCTTCTGACAGAAGTCTTCACTGGAGAAAGGATCTGAGATAAGGAACAAAGACTTAATGTCTTTCATAAGCTTTGGGTCACGCCACAAAATCCCTGTAAAGATATTCAAAAATTCCAGTCACAAGATGTGATTTACTTCGGCTGTTTTCAGGTATTTCATTTTTATTTTATTTTTTTTGTATTTTCATGCTTTATGATGGATAGAGTAACATTTGTCAGTATATTTAATACATAAGTGCAGGATAAACTTCTTTTTAATCTTCATGTTACATTCTTTCCAAATAGCCCACCAGATTAAAAAAATATATTGTTATTATATATTAATATATTGCAATATAAATCAAATAAATGCTGTTCTTTTGAACTTTGTATTCAAAGAATCCTGAGGAAAAAAAATGTATCACAATTTTAACAAAAGCATTAAGCAGCAAAAACAGTTTTCAACATTGATAATAAGAATAAACATTTATTGAGCACCAAATCAGCATATTGATCTGAATGAAACATTTGAACCTTCACAACTTTTTCTCTCTCACACATTTAGTTTCATACTGACCGAAATGATTGGATGGAGGTAGATTATTTACTTCACCATTTACATAGACAGTCCAGTGAGATACAATCACCTCCTTTAATTAAATTGTATTAAATGTGATCAAAGTCGTGGTTTGCCACTTCACATAGTTTGTAATTGAGTCAGTTTATTCAGAAATGTTAGTTATACACTAGTATGTTCAATAGTTGAGGTGGCTATTGTTCACATATGACTCCAGCTTTCATGAACTTGATTAGGCCGCAGCTTTGTCCACTATTATTTCATGTTGAAGTATCTATCAAGTACTGATTATATTTGTTATTGTAAATTTTAACTCATAAACTTTAGATAATGAGATTTCAGCAATCTTTGGCCTCCTGAGGTGCCATAGACATGCATGAAGCCATTTTATTACAACAGCACCTGTAGAGGAAACCAGTTTCTTCCATTTATGGACTTCTACAGTCTCTGGGCTTTAGCAGATGTCTTGATTAGTTAAATGCACTTAATTTACAGTGTGAGGAGCACACTTTGATATAGCTACAGCCAGTGTCTGTGATATGCGAAAGGTCCTCAAACTCCCACATGATTGCCATCTTGTTGATTAGACATGTGACTCATGGAGCTGCTTATCCAGTAGCTGAACTTTCTTTTCGCATTATGTCAGATCAGTCTGTTCGGTAATAGTTCGCTGAAATCATTATCAAGATGTGCATGTTCAAGGTTTACAAGTGCGTGCTTGTTAATTTTTAAATGCAAATAAATTCATAATAAAATAGTTTTTAAAAGTTAAGATACAAAATATATAAAACAGTCAAATTAAACTTATTTAAAAAAATAAATGGTATACCTATTAAATTATTACTGCACGGAGTCTATATGTTTGAATTGATCACAGAAAATTATAATGTAGAAAAATACAAAGTGGAAGCTCATATTCTTAGACGCCACGGTTACTGGTAGTTAACTGAATTAGTTCTGTACCGTTTCCTAGCAACAGTGGGACAACTAGCAAGAGAGAGAAAAAAAAAAACACTTGTGAGAGTGGAGGGCAGTGACAGAGGTGCAGGTGTCAGCCACAAGTAAGACTTTCAACTTTAGTGCATTTTTTATAATTAAAGACCAACTATTATTCGATTAGTATTATACAGTCAATACAGTATTGTACAGTTTTTTTCTGGTTTTGTGTTATACACTGCTTTTGAAATATGCTGATGTTTTTGTTTTCTTCTAATTACCAATCATTTTAAAGTCGTTTAAAGGAATACAATGTTTTAAATGATTTACAATGGTTTTAGAGCAGTTAATGAATATAATTGTGAATTACTTGTGTTACATTTATTTGGTTATAAATAAGTAGTTTGAAATGTTATCACAAATGTTATCTGGCACTGCCAATTTGCACTTTGTTTAGTGGAGTGATATTTATAGTTGATTGCTTTTGCGTGAAGATACAGATTTAGTTTGGTAACTGTTTATTGCACACTAAAAATAGTTAATTGCTTTTGTTCACTGTCCTTCTTGTACAAAGCCAATATGCAGAGTTCATCTGCAGCAGCCCCTCATAGATAATGTAAGAAGTAATGTGAGAGGATACCTACAGAAAAGACACAGGAGAACACACAAACACATGCACCATATCAGATGACTTTGCATGCAATGTTACAATTATGCAAATTACTATTTACATTTCTACTGCAATGCAATGGTTTAATCTCCATTTTTCTAAATTTGCATACAAAAGACGTAAGTTCACCCAGACTGCGGAAACCTTAGACAACATTGGTATTTTTTTTCCAAAGATTTATAAATCATATTACACTCTCTTAGACTGAATCATCTTCGTGCCATTACAATTGGACACATTATTATTATTTTTAATTTTTATTTTTTTTAGCTACACAGAGAAAACGTTGATGATTTGCCAAATAGAGTGACTGTCATTATTTCATATAGTCTCCTGCTTGGCCTGTCTTGCTGGCATCTATATTTCTACCTTGTCCCTCCTCTCTTTTATACTGTTGTCTCTCAAACAGAACCGATCAGGACTAGTGCTGTAAAATAGCATTAAATAAAGTAGGTCCTGTCTCAGATTGTACCTGAATGGGAAGAATGGGAAATATTGTACTACATTACACAAGGGGAAATTTTGCAGCTAAACTTTTTCTTTAGATTGTTGTATATTGCCATTTATCCCACTTATAGTGTGCAATTCTTTTTTTCAAATCTAAGAGCAACTGCATTATGTTTATCATGCATCTTATGCACTTCTATCAAACGGTATATTCACAGCATGAATCTCCATGTACTCTGACAATAACCTAATTTTCTTTACTTGCAGTATCTCTTCCTCCCACTACACATGCACACTTTGGACTCAACTGCTTTAAACCTCATCATGAATTAAGTATTGGAGCGTTGTGCTGATGTGTAGCCTGATGTCACACTGGGCCTGAAGGGGCCTGAAGAGCTGAGATAGAAGGCTGCAGAGTGAAAATACAAGTGAGCAAAGGAGAGCAAGTGCACTTCTCAGTTTTGTGATGACATTTTTTTGCCTTTTTAGTCTGTCTTTTGCCTCCCACATATATGCTGTCCTCCTTCGTTCACTGCCTGACTCCCTGAATTTGAAATGCTAATAATCTCCTCTGTGCTAGAAATATTGTGACTCCCTTTCTTCTATCTGTCTCTCCCTCTCCTTTGCTCACATTTGTCTGTCAGCCACAATTTCTCTGTGTTTTCCAGTAGTCTTTCTCTAGCCAATCCTTGGTTCCCTCAATTCATCAGTTCTGTCAGAGTTTCTCGGCTTTCCATCTGTCAGTCAACGTCAAAGTTTTGTTTGTCACATGCACATCAGTACAGTGGGAAAGAAATACTTTCTTTGCAACTCTTAAATAGGCAAAGTAATACAAGAGAACTGATGATAATAATACTAATAAAAGTCAAATAAATAATCAGTAGCACAATAATAATAAACAATGTTCCATATATAGTTGATACATCAGTAATACAAAGGCAGTCAGAAAAGACAAACAAAATGTGCATCTGTTTGTTCTCTGGTCTTGTTTCACTGTTTGCCCTCTCAAATGTGCTCAGCAACTGTTCCGCAAGACAGCGAACCATATCAAATTCCAGAAGTAAGCCGCTTAAGGTTTCCTACTTTCAGTCAGTACAACAGCCTGAAACAATGGGTTGAGTGTTATGTTGTTATCTCCAAGAAACATCTTAGCTATGACAATAAAAAAGGTAAGATGTAATAACTTTTTCAAAATTTCACCTACAAGGCATTTTGTTTATTTGATTTACTTCTTTAAATGTTTTAATATTTCTGAAGATACAATCCAGAACATGATATTTTGATGTAATAACTGGTGTTAACAATCATAAGTTTAATTGCATAACATTGTTACAAAAATTGCCCCTGCACTACTGTCACCTTAATACTCATTTTTAAAATATATTGCACATTATTGCTATATTATATATAATTATTTGTTATGCTAATTATAATACATGAATTTATTCTGTATTACAATTATTTAATTGTTGTATTTATTTTTACTGTGGTATCTTTATGTTGTCATGGCTGCTGTTGTCACGACTGTGGTTGCCATAGGTTGCAGCAAAGCAACTACATCTCCTTTTTCCTAAACTGTAAAGAGAGTATTGATGATGCACGACTGCTTGACCTGAAAAGCGCTTTGAGGTGTTTTATTCACATACGTCACATAAGCAGGTCTTTGCATTTTATTTTTCACTTTGAGACTCAAATATGACAAGAATATTTAATACTGTATGAATTAGTAATAGTGGTGCCACATACTGTAAAGGTCCGTTTCAAAAGAGGGCTGTAGACATGTTTCATGAAATGTTTATTATGTGTCCCAGCACACTGATTTCAGGCAGGATTTCTTATCTACTTTTTCACTTGAAATCCTTTAGAATTTTCGGCTAATTTGAGTGCTTGTAAAGTTGCTGTGAAACCTGTTTGACAGTAACATTGATAAAATGAGAGTGTCGCGAAATTAAAACTTTCACCTAAGAGAGGATCTTCTGATGAGTTTTCAAAACCTGTTTGTTTTGTGC